TACCTCTCCCCTGTCTCATCAACTGTGTACTACCACTACACTGTCTCGTCAACTGTGTACAACCACTACACTGTCTCATCAACTGTGTACTACCACTACACTGTCTCATCAACTGTGTACAACCACTACACTGTCTCATCAACTGTGTACTACCACTACACTGTCTCATCAACTGCGTACTACCACTACACTGTCTCATCAACTGTGTACTACCACTAGCGATATTTTTTGGTTGGGACCTTAATATCTCACCAGGTTCAACCATTTTAGAAGATTTAGGATTTTCTTTTAAAGCTAATAATGCAAAACAATCTTAATAATGAAATTAGATATATTAAACGTTCTAATCAACAATGGTAATGATAGAAACATTAAAGAAAGAATAGCATATAACTTCCAAAACAGTTTGTTCGTGTACTGTGCATCTCACTCCATTACAACCAAACACTGTGTTCAAAACAAACCACAAAGACTAAACTAACAGAAGGAATATGTTATTCAGAACTGTAACGGTTACAGACTTAAATGTAGGAACTAACCAGAATGCGAAATAAATTACATGTCCAAGAATTATATACAGATTACAAGTCAAGTTAAATACTGCTACAATGCACACTTATTTTAACGTTGAAAAAACAATCCTATAGCACCATGGGACGGAATTAATACGACCTTACGAACAAGTTTCTACCGGCACTTCATTACTGCATGTGAGTTTATTCAAACAATACCTAATCACAGAGATGAAAAAAAACAACAGTTACAAAGTTAAACATAAAAAAAATTACATAGGGATAATTGGAGAAGTAAATAAAAAAGAATCGAGGTAAGCATGTTTCTTCACATGCTCACACAATGTGTGGGAGTCACTCTAGTTTTCTGATAACTTGCATTACATATATTTTTTTCCAGATCAGATTCCGTTTTCTCACAAATCTGAAATACAAAGGAATAAAAAGGCACTTGTAGTTCGTGAGATAGAATATGGAATCTCATTCGGATGTACTTTGGATGACAAGTGATTCCAAGAGTTTTTGTTCGCATCCCGTGTATAAGTTTAAGAATAAAAAGGTGTGTGTGTCCTAAGATGCGGGTGCTTGAACTCAAGAAATGCACTCTTACAACTTTCAAATCATAAATTTTATGAGGTAATTAGTATTTATTGCAACTAAGAGAACAAGATGGAATTCCCAATAGTCACGGCACTTGAAATTCTTTTAGGCAGGATTACAATAAATTAATCTTCGAGACCTTTTTATTAGCTATATTTTTTTTGCATCAGCAATACCAAGCGTGAAGCGTGCGTATACCCGATTGAATTTTATTACTCATCAGGATCTCTACCAGCCTACCCTCAAATTTAAATTATTTTAGGTTGGATTAATATAAATTAATCTACGAGACCTTGGGCGTGGTCAAAACATCGATCAAAAGAGTTTAACCTCCTGAGTCTAAAACTGTAATTAGATCTCAAATCAATCAAGAGATGACGAAGCTGTGACTTAAAATTTGTACTTGATAAATTCAGCCGTTTCACGAGTTGTTATGTCGTGGCTAAAAACAAAAGAGGTGTCACACACATTAAAGAATGATAATGGGGCAGGGTGGGGAGTGGGGGTGGTGTTGGTAGCAATATAAAAGTTTGTAACGATAAAGAGTGTGGAACGTGGAACAAAATATTTTAAAAACTATTCCTATCATAGAATGAAGGTTAGACTTTTAGCGGAAATTAAATAAGCTTAATATTTCACCATCCTTACCTTTTCCACTGCATGGGGATAGGCTGTGAATTCACTAACTTGCTCCTTATAACGCTTGAGAAACTGAGATAATATTTCTTTCCGCCACAGTTCATTCATGTTACTGTCTTGAACGTTGATGGCTGTATCATTTAAAATATTGTAAATGAAAACGAGCATCAGAATATTTGGTTAACAACAGAAGCATAAAAAATAGTGCACAACAGAATTAATAAATGGTGAATACGAAAAAAAAAAACGTTCAAAAATTTAACTTTAGAATATGAAAGAAGTAATCTTATCAAGTTGAGCTAATTACCTTGATCAAACCACGGTGGTGGAGACTGATGGTCGACAACACAACCACTACCACTCAACCACACCCAAGACATGTCAACTTCCATGTTTAAGTAGTCACAGAAATAATCCTCTATCGAGTTCTTGACCCATTTTCCAACCGAACTGTTCTCGTGATCATTATCGATACTAGAGATTTCCAGTTCAGAGCTAGCGTCGTCCCGTCGCTCGATAGACATCTGTAACAGTTTGTGTTCTATTTCTTGGCCACTTTCACGAGTCCCTTCGGGTTTCTCTTTAATTGTTTTAAAATCTGCTCTTTTTTCTTCAGTTGTATTGGTAGCAGCACATTCATTATCGTCACTGTTCTCTTCATCCTCATCATCCGATGCATCCTGTATGAAATTCACGACCGTATCCGAAACATCTGAGGAGGAGCTGTCCTCGCAGAAAAGCCGACTCTCTGATGCTTTTCTCAGAGTTTTAGCTACAGGAGTTAAACATAATGGTGATGGAATGATCTTAGCATTTGTAATAGATACACCAGAATCAGTTTGTGATAAACTATCATCGGAAGGGTTTGATTCAGATATAAAAGAAAGCGATGCCTGAAATGGCATGTTTGTCTTAACGTGTGGCTTTTCATTTGTCGAAGTAGTTTTATCAGAGTAATTACTGTGCTGGTTTCTAGCATGTGGATCATCTTGTTTATCAGAACATCCACTGACTGTATCATATTCATAACTATGCTGGAGGCTTTGCTGGGACACTAAACTACTACGACTACTCCCACGACTAAGTTGGTTGTAGAGTGGCAAGTTGATAGGTTTCCAGGTTTTCCCACTCAGTTCAGCATAAGTTACTCCTGTTCTAAAATATGGAAGTTTATCATCACAGCCTAAGCCCCATACCTGAAAAAAAAACTATTTAAAGCCAATTATTTAAACCCAAAGAAACAGTTTATGGTTTTTTTTCATCTGGAATTTAATATTACCACTACATGTATACAATTTACTGTAGACCAACTATGACGTCATATGAAGAAAGAACACTTCCTTGAGTTATAGGTTTTATATTTTAAACCTAATGTACACTACAAGTTTATCACATTTCAACAAAAATTATTACATAACAGCTAAGTCCATTACATTCTAGTAGAAGGTATTATATAACAGCTAAGTTCATTACATTCTGGTAGAAGGTATTATATAACAGCTAAGTCCATTACATTCTGGTAGAAGGTATTATATAACAGCTAAGTTCATTACATTCTGGTAGAAGGTATTATATAACAGCTAAGTTCATTACAGTCTAGTAGAAGGTATTATATAACAGCTAAGTTCATTACATTCTGGTAGAAGGTATTATATAACAGCTAAGTCCATTACAGTCTGGTAGAAGGTATTATATAACAGCTAAGTTCATTACAGTCTGGTAGAAGGTATTATATAACAGCTAAGTTCATGACAGTCTGGTAGAAGGTATTATATAACAGCTAAGTTCATGACAGTCTGGTAGAAGGTATTATATAACAGCTAAGTTCATGACAGTCTGTTAGAAGGTATTATGTAACAGCTAAGTTCATGACAGTCTGGTAGAAGGTATTACATAACAGCTAAGTCCATTACATTCTGGTAGAAGGTATTATATAACAGCTAAGTTCATTACAGTCTGGTAGAAGGTATTATATAACAGGGGAAATGATAATGTTTGATATCTTTTGTAATAGGATGGTTTCGGTCTTATTTCACGAGTCTGCCATCATTATGTTGTAAAGTAGAGTTTAATTGTGTCAATGATACCTCAACAAGTTATATAATACCTTCTACCAGAATGTAATGAACTTAGCTGTTACATAATACCTTCTACCAGAATGTAATGGACTTAGCTGTTACATAATACCTTCTACCAGACTGTCATGAACTTAGCTGTTATATAATACCTTCTACTATAATGTAATGAACTTAGCTGTTATATATTACCTTTTACCAGACTGTCATGAACTTAGCTGTTATATAATACCTTCTACCAGACTGTCATGGACTTAGCTGTTATATAATACCTTCTACCAGAATGTAATGAACTTAGCTGTTATATAATACCTTCTACTAGAATGTAATGAACTTAGCTGTTATATATTACCTTCTACCACAATGGCCAACATGATTTTATTAATAATTTTACGTCATATATATCTATAAACTATAATCTAATGATTCATTTTTAATTACTTTTTATGACGTACTGGATGAAAATGCTGTGAAACAATTTGACCTCTATCGGTTATTAAACAGTTACAAACTGACGTATTAAACAGTTACAAACGGACGACGTAGAGCAAAAAAGACAAAGTACAGGCAGATAATAAACAATAGGACATTATGTTTACAATATCTTTAACTGTAAATCAAAACTAACACTAAGTTACTTACTTGGTCATCAGGTCCTACACTAACGACAGCCATCTGACCAACCATTTCAACCCATCCTGTTCCCGTTGCAGAAGTAGGTTCTATCCCTGCCCGTTGACTGTTCACACCTTTTCTAAACCAGATCTGAAACAACAATTTTCCGCCTTTGAAACAAAATTAAAAATTAGCTAAAGAGTAACAGACGTAATGAGAAATGGCACAAAAAACACCGAATAAATATCGTTAATAACACCAGTCGTACTCATTGAGCAACTAAAACACTATTTTATTATACTGATTGAGCAAGTAACACACTATTTTATTATACTGATTGAGCGAGTAAGACACTATTTTATTATACTCATTGAGCAACTAAAACACTATTTTATTATACTCATTGAGCAACTAAAACACTATTTTATTATACTTATTGAGCAACTAAAACACTATTTTATTATACTTATTGAGCAACTAAAACACTATTTTATTATACTCATTGAGCAACTAAAACACTATTTTATTATACTTATAGAGCAACTAAAACACTATTTTATTATACTCATTGAGCAACTAAAACACTATTTTATTATACTTATTGAGCAAGTAAAACACTATTTTATTATACTCATTGAGCAACTAAAACACTATTTTATTATACTTATTGAGCAAGTAAAACACTATTTTATTATACTCATTGAGCAAGTAAAACACTATTTTATGATACTGAGAAATGGCATAAAAAAACACCGAATAAATATCGTTAATAACACCAGTCGTACTCATTTATTGATACATTTTTCATCGACAAGAGCGGGAACATTATTATTATTATTATTATAAGATAGATCATACAAATAGGGTCCATTTTCTAAAATATTAAGTTTTCAATACAATCTGTAATGTTTCGCCACATAGCTGGTAGTATGCGTAAAATAAATTTAAAATTTTAGTCCATAAATAATGTTTTTTTCTTCTCATAAATAAAATCTGTTATTATTTATACAATTTCGTACAAAGCTACTCGACGGTTGTCTGTGCTACCCATTTCTAATTTTGAAGTGGTAGACTAGAGGGAAGGCAGCTGGTCATCACCAACCACCAACTACTGTAGGTTACCCTAATTAAACAGCGGGATCTAGTCTTACCTATAGCACACCCATGGGTGAATAAAATCTAACCATTATTATATAAGCATGACACAATTTTCGCAAAGTAAGTGTCACATTCTACAAAGAAACAAAAAATTTGAAGGTGAAATAGAAATAATGAAATAAATTATTTCCATAACGCACGCTGTTTAAAATA